GTATTGTTACGACATTGGCTCGGCGCCGAAGTGGAACACGCGTCTGTTTTTTTTTACAGGGTCGGGGATGGTTAGTTTCAGGTCCGGAATAGGTTCGGTACTACTCTGGCTTTTCAGTTTTCTACGGTATCCGCCATCGGTATGATACATATCACTACTTCACTTTCAGGTTCGGTGTTGGCAGCTCAAAATTGTCAAGTGGCTATTTCCGGTTCGGTCCGACACTCTGATCCGGGACAGATACGGAACAAGCATGGTAACTGGGTGTTGGGAGAAACAGCTGGAGTGCGGTTCGGCTTTTGTGTTGGTAACTGGTACAATACAATTGCTTTTCAGTACCGTGGTTGGCTTTGGAGCGTAAAAGTGACAAGTTTGGTACGGGTACCTGCCATACGGAAGTATCTGGCTTTCTTTTTACAAGCAGGTTTCAGTTGCAGGTCCCGCTGAGACTGTATATGGGTTTCACTGCACCAGTGCTGGACCTGGCCCTGCTTTTACCCTCAGCCTACGAAGACCTACGGATTGGACCTGGGAGGAGGGAAGACCACGTTCAGCTGTGCGGGAAAACCATGAAGGGAAAGGGGACTAGAGAGCAGGGGGGGGTATGCACGGTGTACCCAGCCCGCGACACAGTACGGATGCAGGCGGAGTCAATGCAGGGGAAGCTTGCATGGTGAGCGGAGCACAGGCAACAGGGAGAGGTGTGCACGGTCGGGGAGTGCTGAGGGCAGAGGGAGGTGTACCAGGTGTCCGCCGCACCCCATCGATTCGGACAGAGGAAGGAAAAATTGAGCATAGCGGAGAGGAAGGGAGAGGACCCGCGCACCAGGCGTACGCAGCGCCGCTTGGCACGAGACTGGGCAAGAAATCTGGTCATACTCACGCGTGAAGTACATACGAAGGGGAGYTTTCCCCATCTTCTGATGAGAGATGAGGCGTGCCGCWRGGGCGCTGAGGGCTTGAATTTMGTGAAGAACGTTGCCATGGTATCATTCAAGATTCATCCTTATCCCCTTGATTGGTGGATGATCTGGCGAGGCCGCGAAGCAAGTCCAAGGGTGGGGTAGTGTACTTTTCCCGTGTTCATGCAGTGTGTCCATTCTGATTGGTGAGTGAACAAGCGGCTGTAAGCATATCTAATTAGTAACTGGAAATTTGTTCAAAACGTCTCGTGGCACSCGAAGAAAATCCGCGCTGACTCATAACGCACGAACACTCTATGACGTGTCACAGATCATCGAATGTATCGTATCATTCCATGGTCTTACTACAGATTCACCCTCACCCCCTCGTTAGTGAGTGGTCGCAGAACACAGCAGGCGAAGAAAGTGGGTCCGCATTCCCCCATGTTTTTGCGAAAGATACATTCTCATTTCCCCCCCTCGTTTTTGCTGAAGAACCAATCATATTCCGTCATTTGACGACTAATCGGACGGGACTGCAGCGCACCGAAAGTAAAAAGGGTATAATGATGTATCTATCCGCATTCATCCTGAAGAAAAAAACCTCTGTTCACACGGTTGGGTAACCAAACGGACGGCAGCACTCCAGCGATGAGAGTTGGGCAATTCACCTTCCCATGTTTTTGATGAGCGATCATTCTCCGCTGGCTTGTCGTATTTGGTGAGTGAAGCGCAGCACAGCGAGACACAAAKGGATATACACGCACATATATGTTAATGTATCRTACTCTTGCCGAAGGTTCGTTCACCGCTTCGTTGATGAATGAACGCTGCTCCAGTGCGCAGCAGTTCACAAAAGAGTCTGTCTATCTTTTCACGTTCCGGCGGCAAGTGCTTTCAGGTTCTTTCTCATTCGCGGCCATACACACCAAGGAGGGTGGAGACAGTTGGAGGGTGCATCCACACTCAATTGAGAGCGGCGCAGGAGGCCACAGGTACGTTGTCATTACGCTGAAAGGAGGCCGTTGCAGATGCCTCGCTGTTCTGCACGAGAGAGAAAGAGAGAGAGAGAGAGAGGACTGAGGGGGAGAAAGAGAGAGAGGACTGAGTGAGAGAGAGAGAAAGAGAGGACTGAGTGAGAGAGAGGGAGAGAACGGACTGAGCGAGAGGGGGAGACAGCGGACTGAGAGAGAGAGAGGGAGAGAGAGAGAGCACATGAGTGCTGATGAGAGAAAGGGTGGATAATCAGAAACAATCAGACACACGCACACACACCTTATTATTCTGATAAAAGGGGTAAGTGAAGGCTGATGAACGAATCTGGTCAAAGCAGTGGATCAGGCACATCCACTAAGCAGCTACAGAATTATACAAATGAGGTATGCATGCTCTCTTGGCTCATACCATGGGCCTTTCCATGTGTAACAACAGCAGGTGAGAAGGTGTAGAGAGAAGGAGGCTGATCAAGCAGTCTCCACCCATTGACAGTTCAAGGACTCTCCTCCCATTGGCTGGTCGAGCAGCCTCTGTCCATTGGCTGTTCAAGGACTTTTTCCCGATTGGCTGATCAAGAAGTCTATGTTCATTGGCAAATCAAAAATTCTTCTATCATTGGCAGATCGACCGCTCGTAGGCAATCAGGTATTCGCTGTTTATGGGCGAGCACTCATATAGTGCATTCTCTGTGTGAATTTCGTTCAAAGCAGGCCACTCTCTAATTGAGTCAAAGAGGGGCAGTATCCAAGTGTTTGCACTGCGAATTATTCCCAAGTGTGTGTACTACGAATAATTATTAATTCTTACTCGCGCAATCTGCTCTTTTCGGTCGACGGGCCCCCGTGCATTTCACTTCGTTGAATTGTCCTTCACTCACTTGTGGCCCAGGGCTGAGCCCAGATATCAGCCTTACGGGACATGCAAGCTCATTTGGTTCTGGTTTAGTAATAATTGTCTGTCGAAGTGTGTAAGAGAAYACTCAAATCAGCAAAAGTGGGCGCAYGRCAGGCAGTCTGAACTCTATYTCCCTGYTGGTCGCTGAGGACCTCGGAAGCGGGCGCAGCGAGTGACAGGCGCTGTTGCCCATGGCTTCAGCGACGAGCAGGTGACCCCTCCCCGGGTTTCCTAACAACGTGCTGCACAACGGCGAGTTCAGCGTCCCTCAGACATGCTTAAGGGCCAGATCCCACTAACCCCTATTGTTCATTTGTGACCGTTGATCTTCATAATCGCGGGTGAAATTTTGAAAAATGAATAATCCAGGGTAGTGGCATCTGACCCTAATCCACTGCAGTACTTCCTCGAGTCGTGCCCGTTAATGCGCCACCATCATTTTAGGAAATGTACGTACGGGCTACTACAAAAGCACCACCACCTGCAAGAGACATACAATCCAGGGTAATCATTTCTACTCTTTTTTTTTTTTTTTTTTTCCGCGGGCGATAGCTGGGCCAAGTACTGGCGGTTTAATCCACCAGTCCCCCCGGGCCTCTTTGGGGCGACAAGTATCTCTGCTGCAAGGCCGAGGGGGTGCATGTACTGGAAGTTCTGAGAGTCCAATGCCCCCTCCGGACATCTCATCTCCAACCCAAGGGGCATCAGAACACAGATGCTACCTACCGTTCTTCCCCCGAACATATCGCATATGCGTTGTAAACGCGAATACAACGCATATGCGTTCTATTCGATTAGCCAATAAAAATCGAATACAACGCGTATGTGTTCTATTCAATTTTTGTTTCAGATTATGAAACTCAAATACAATGCATACGCGTGGGGAAAGAAGGAAGATTATTTATGGAGAGATTTTTCCAGCCTGCTGGTCAAAGCTCGAAATCTTTGAGGTTAGGGTAACGACTTCAGGCATGGTCAGCTCCCATAGTGTGACGGGCGGTGTGTACAGGTCCGGGAACGGATTCACCGCCTTATGGCTGACCGGCGATAACTAGCGATTCCGCCTTGATGCAGGCGAGTTGCAGCCTGCAATCCGGTCGCATCGTCCAAAACAATATTCTGGACTATTCATGGGCACATTATTCATAGTGAGATGTTTTTTTTTTTTTTTTCCTCTACTCGGTCGCATCGTCCAAAACGACATTTTGTGAATCACCACACCAGCCTCCTTCCACAAACAGCGAGTGCCATAAATTCTCCCACAGTTCCCTTCTCCGTTTTTCTTTTTCAATTGGACATTGTAAGCTCAGATGCAAAAAAAAAAAAAAAAAAAAAAAAAAAAAAAAAAAAAAAAAATCAGATGCACATATACCCGTAGTAATACGGAGAAAAACTTTTAACAAACTGCCTGACACTTGTCCATCCATTTGGCTCCTAGAATCCGTTTCAGCATATTTCACTCCATCAGAATGTGTCGAGGCATTTCATTCATTCATTCATTCATTCATTACACGTCATCGCCTTCTCGTATTCCTCCATTTGTTCACAGCGAGATTACCGCAGGGAGATTATCGTGATAATCTCGCTATGGTAATCTCGTATTCCTCCATTTGTTCACAAAATCCGCAGCGAGATTACCGCAGGGAGATGGAGATTACCACAGGGAGATTACCACAGTGAGAAACCAACCTAGTCTGGCGCCCAGGTATAAGCCTGGTAGGGAGTGCACGAGGAGAGAGCCGAGCACGGCTAGTCTGGCACCCATTTGTTCTACACTTGTCCGCAGCGAGTTTACCGCAGGGAGATTACCACAGTGGGAAACCAACTGTGCAAACACGACCGGCCACGTACACATCGTTTGTCGGTGTCTCCTCTCCCGACAGACGAATGTCCCTTTACACAAGCATTTTTTTTACGGAGGCCACTGTTTACACAAGCATTTTTTTACAGCAGTAACTTCTTCACAGGATCATTTTTTTACGGGTGCAACTTTTTACACAAGCATGTTTTTACAGAAAAGCTCCATTCTTCCCAAAGCGAAGCCAGGTAATTGCTCCCCCGGTGCGACCAGTCTTTCATGAAGTCCTTATTTTTTCCAAGGTAGACTGGGGACCCCGTCAGCAAATACTATGTGAAAGGCACGTCGGGATCAGCTAGCTATACCTCCTTCCCCCGCATACACATATACAACGCACGGTCATAGTATCTCACGTGGGGATTTTAAGCATCTTTCAATCGAAATCTACAACGACCGTGCGTTCTATTCGGGGGTACGAAGGTAGTCTGAGTGCATACTAACAGGACGCATGTGCTCCCATCTTGACAACGAGTACACCGTGTTGTTGCTTACAACTCCTCTGCGGAGAAAGCCGACGGAGAAGAGTATATTCACGAGAACCGGGCCAAATTCTGTCAGCCACTTCTGAGCACATCGCCATTCTCCTGCCTAACTTTGTTTTTTTTTAGCAAACAGCAGTGCCAAAGACCCGACTTACTGATGGGGAGGAGGGTGGAAAGAGCAAACCCCCCACCCAGCAGCCGTCTGGTTACCTCAGATCCATGGATTGGGATCTGCACCTGCTGCAAAACGGGTTCAGCGCCGCTGTAGATAACACATCTGACAGTGATCTAGGAGTGTTCGGAAGCCTTCCAGCACTGATTGTCAGGTGTGATCGACGGAGCAGATGTAATGAACGCAAAGGGAGAAACCTCTTCAACCCTGTACCTGGGCGCCAGACTAGCCGTGCTCGGCTGTCTCTCCTCCTCTGCCCTCCCTACCCGGCTTATACGTCCTCACCTAGCCCCTGTCCTCCTTGCACCCTCATTCTGTAGCCCCTCGATCCTTGCACACCTTCGTTTTGTAGCCCCTCGATGCTTGCACCCTCGTTTCGTAGCCCCTCGATACGTCCAAATTTGCGGTCTTGGACCTCCTGCCACAATGCAACCTCCCCCCCTCGATATGTCTTCTTTTTCTCCTTCAGGAAAGATTAATGATTTCGTTCATCTTGGTCCATCTGGATTATTATTAGCACTTACGTCTGTATTTCAACTGTTCATGCGTGGACGAAGTGCCCGAGACCCATTTTCGTTCTTTCGAGTACTTTCGATAGAGTTTCGTAATCGACATCCATATATGAAAATTCACATTCATATACAACCGCCTACCCTTCATTGCACCATCCATTAAAAAATCCCTTCGCGTCCCCTCGAAGGAACAGCATATACTATAGATTTGGAAAAAAACGAAAGCCAGAGAGGATACCCTGCAAGAGACGTACAATCTGAAAAACAGGATCGAACAAGTCGAATGACCCGTTGGCTTCGCTTGCTGGAAACACCTTGTCTTCGTCCACCCCAATCAGCTCGTCCTGCTCTGCCTGCGCTCTCTCTCTCTCTCTCTCTCTCTCTCTCTCCGTGTGTGTTGTGTGTGTGTTTGTGCGTCTGTGTGTTTGTAATCCGTCGATATGCACAAACGTTCTTGCTTTTTGGAAAGAGGCATTGAAGCATTGGAAATCACCTCGTCCCCCTGCTCTTCCTTCGCCGCCTCTGTGTGTGTGTGTGTGTGTGTGTGTGTGTGCGTTTGTATCCGTTGATATGCACAAACGTTCTTGCTTTTAGGAATGTGGCATTTAAGCATTAGAAAGCTCCGCATAACACTGTCAGAAAGTCAAGGACCGTGCACACAGACATCAGATCTGTGTTCATGCCTCAACCCTTAAATGCCAAGTCCGGCAACTTGAACGATCACACCTCGAACGATCCCCGTCCGGCCTCCACCACACGTTCTGTTCAGCTATTAACCGTGAAGAGCTGATTTGCAAAAGTCCATCTATATCACGGTTCGATCCGTCATCCTCCCTCCCACATTCATCATTAACCGTGAAGAGCTGATTTGCAAAAGTACATCTATATCACGGTTCGATCCGTCATCCTCCCTCCCCCATTCATCATCGCAGTCATGTGTGAAGGCCACTCTATCAGAGACGCACCATCACCCTCCCTCCTCCAACCTCCATTACCCCTGCCAATCTTCGTCCTAGTTCTCCTCCCTCGTCTGCCTTCAATCACCTTCCTCCTGCCTCCACGGTCGCTCCTTCGCTCGCCCTCGTCCTAGCTCTGTCCCCATCCATTATCGTAGTCCTCATGTGTGAGGGTCACTCTATCAGTCATACCGTCACCCTCTTCTCCTCCTAACCCCATTGCCAATTCCATCATCCTCCCTCCTCTGCCTTCATTCTCCATCCTCCTACCTCGATTGTCGCCATCTATCCCCCGTCCTCCCTCCGCTGTCAGATGTGCGTTCCCTTCGCATCGTCGTACTCCTCCCTCCTCTGCCTCCATGGTTGTCGTTGCCATCCCCCCATCCTCCTCCCCCGTCACCGCGCCGCTTCATGCGTGGTATTTACGTCCTCTCGTTCCCCTGCAGCAGCGCGCATGCTCCATGCCATCAATGTTGTCCTTCCGTCCGAGTCCCTTCATCTAGTTCACAGTCGCGACACACGAACGCGCACCCCGCGAAAGAACCCTCGCTGCCGTTCTTCTATCTGTATGTCATTCGATTTTCGATCTGGGCGCACCCCAGACCCACAGCCCTTCCACAGTACGGGGGGCGACGCGGTCTCACGCGGGACGGCCAAAAAAAGAAGGGAAAAAAAAGGAGAACAAGTAGGGGATTGCTGATGCAAGTTCCTATTTCGTTTTTTTCTGTAGAGATAGAAAAGGACAACAAACGAGGGGCTGTGACAATACATAAAAAGGGCTCGACATCGACAAAAACCCTAATTGGAATGAGACATTCCGACTTGTAAACGTCAAAAGAGAGATGGACCCCAAAAAATGCCATCTTAGAGACAGGACTGCGCACGTGTCCTTTTTCTTGCCAGAACTGCTCACGTTTTCTCAAAACTCAACATTTTCCCATTTCAAGGACAGCGCACATGACATCAACCAAACCAACATAATAAACACATGTTTTGTTGTTGCCGTGATTTCGCATTGCGCAAGCATACGGAGGCACCGTCACGTTATTACAAGCATCGTATCGTATCGTCCTCCCTGCTCAAAACCTTTACTACACAACAATCCCACGTTGGAACTTTCCTTCTCTTTTGAAACGACAACGACGGCCTTGAGATATCATCATTGACCTGACCGAGACAAGGTTTCGGCTGATTGAATCCGGTTTCAAACACAGATCTGTATTTCATCGCTTCATGGGTGTGTCAACTGGGCTCATCAGATCCGATCCGTAGGTCAAGCATGATGGCGATGGTAATGCGTGGAATCATCATCCCGTTCATCCCGCTGCAACATTCGAGATAGAGATTCAAAACCCACAAAACTAAAGAGAACACGAACACTCAACGTAGGGCAAGCAGAACTTTAAGCCAACACTTTTAAATGAAAATTTCCGGAGATTGGGTTCAGTGTGAAAGAATACCAATCACAAGTGAGGGGAGGGGACCTTAGCTGATCTAATTTCCAAAGGAATGAAAGCTCGTTTTGAACACTCAGGAGGACAACCGAAGATCAACTCGTCTTGCACTCAGAATAAACACTCAGGAGGACAACCGAAGATCAACTCGTCTGGCACTCAGAATATATATTCTCAAAAAACACTTCTCATTCACGTCCGGTACAAGACAAACCGCCAAAGGAATTTCCGAAAAAAACTGATCAGCAACTAGCCGACCCCAGATTCATCTCTCCGCGCTCCACTGACAATCTCAATCTTTCCTCCTCTTCTCCTACCCTCCTCCCCCTGAGATCGATCTCTCGTCAAACCTATTGAGACCGCGACCCCAAATTTCATCAACTCCCAAGATAAACGACCCTTCAACGCCCGATACACAAAACTCCAATCGAAGGGAGGGGTGGTCAGATCATCATCTAGGCCGTCGGTCCCTTCTTCGCCTCGGAAGCACGCGAGGCACGCCTCTTCGCGAGACTCTCGCTGCGCCTGTCCCTCTGCTCCTTCAATCTAGATGCAAGAAGCTTCTGGTACTCAGCGGCTTCCGTCTTGGCCTTGGCTACTCTCTTTTTCTTGTCGGCCAAGCGAGCACGCTTCCTCTGCAGCACCACGGGCGTCACTAGCCTCTGGATCTTCGGCGCCTTGCTCTGCTTCTTTCCGGTTTTGGACACAAACGTCCTCCTGTAGGTGTTCACGTACTTGCGCACATCAATTCCCTTTGTCAAGTTGAACAGCTTGCGGATCTTCGATGCCCTTTTAGGTCCTCGCATGCGAGGCTTCTCCGTATCCGTGAGACCGGGAAGAGCCTTGTCGCCTTGCTTCACAATCACAAGGTTCAGAACCGCCAAATCCGGACTCACAATACAGCCGCGAACAGACTTGCGCCTCCTCTCTCCATCACGACGGCCATGGCCACGGAAACACGGAGTCCCTAAAAAAATCAATCACCATCACAACAACAACCGAGTCAAAAATTTACAACGTCAAGCGAGGAAACACAGGAGTCCCTGACAAAAAAAATAAACCCCCATCCCAACAACAACAACAACAGCTCAATGCGCAATGTCAGCGAGATCAACATGCTTTTACTAACGCTGCTCTTGTCTTGTCCACATCTAGCGTAATCAAACGTATTCATCATCCGAGAGATGACCTGTCATGGTGTTCAAATTTACCCAGGCATCATCAGCTTTCACAAAAAATGCAGTTGCGCCGTACCAGGCGTCATATTCAGGAATGATATGGAAATATACCCCTGCTACTATTCATATTCAGGAATGGTTTTGACATATACCCTTGTTACTATTCATATAACAACACGAATTGAAACGTCCCCCTTCTTCATACGCATGGAAGTGCCCTTTTATTAAACATAGTCAGAACTCGTCGCAAAAAGCATAAACGACCCTGGGATTAAATTATCCATCATAAGCTTTCACAGCAAATCCAGTTAGCGCCGCACATAGCGTCATATCGAGGAGGGAGATATGAAAGGCCTGCCCCGCTTGTTCATAACGCCTGGAAACGACCACCTTCGTACGTATGGGAGTAGTGCTCCACTGAACCTACTTGCGTCGAATTCATCGGATCCGCAACGACCTTAGGGGAGCAATTCAATACACATATCATGATCTCCGCCAGCTGAACGAGATGAAAGGTCGAAAACGTCGAAACGAGGCTTTACCTCTGTGCATCAAAATTCTGACACGGCCAGGAACAAGCACTCCCTGCTTCATGGGGAAACCATCCTTGTCACATCCTCCCATAATCTTGAAGACATATCCTTTGAACTCCTGCACATTAGATAGAAAATCATGCCACATCACCATCGATACAGACCACAACAGAGAGCGACACCAAGCCCCGGGGGCAAACGTGCTCAAAGCACAACATGACAAAATACAGATGCCCACCCGCAAATTTACGACCGCAATCGGTGCACATAAAAAATCTCAGGGAGATAACAAGATTCACAGCCACGCGCACACTATGAATCAACCGAACGACTAATTGAACCGAAGTGCGACGTCCACTGACGTCCATCACACGCACAAAACACCCAAATACAGCAGAGAAACAGCGTGTATACATTCATTATCAGGGTGCGTTATGTTCAAGCCGACGAAGTACTATCACAATGGGCACGCATTCGACACGTAAACACCATTAAAAAAATCATTGAATTTCTTTCTGAAGCCCCTCGCACACGAGATGCCGCTTGACAAATCCACAAAAGCTCTTATTTATTCCACTAGAACCGACGCAGCTCGTTCATTCAGGCAGGACACATACACAAACCAGCTCGTCTTGGCTACTGATTGGTCCCTTCTTCTCCGTACAACATCTTGCCCCCATACACCACCCTCCATCCGACGATTTTCACACCATTAAATCATTTTCACAGGCAGGACACATCCACAAACCAGCTCGTCTTGACTGCTGCTCGGTCCCTTCTTCTCCGTATAACATCTTGCCCCCATACACCGCCCTCCATCCGACGATTTTCACACCATAAAATCATTTTCACACCATAAAATCGTCGGACTTTCTGAAACCCCTCGCACACGAGATGTCGATGACAAATCCACAAGAGCTATTACATCCACTAGTCTTTCATTCCGGCAAGACACATCCACAAACCAGCTCGTCTTGGCTGCTGCTCGGTTCCTTCTCTGTACAACATCTTGCCCCCATACAACACCTTCCATCCAACGATTCTCACACAGTAAAGTCGTCGGACTTTGTGAAACACCTCGCACACGAGATGTCGATGACAAATCCACAAGAGCTTTTGTTTCTTCCACTAGTCTTTCATTCAGGCAGCAGGACACATCCACAAACCAGCTCGTCTTGGCTGCTCGGTCCTTAGCAAACAAACAACATCTTGCCCCCCTCCAACCCATTCTTCGAAGCCGCGATTCCGAAGGCAACGTAAATACCGTATGCTAACGTTGACTCTTCCCATCGCGACAAACACCAGTCGTTCATCTATACCGAGTTCAGCCGAATAGGACGTAGCGGTGATGATCGCTGTATCTATAGACAGATAATTGACCCAAATGCAGCTATAACGAAGGTACATGCTCTATTCGAGAGGAAAACGGTACCCCATAGAACAAACCCTAACATGAAGACTTCATTATTCCAACCTCGGACGCAAGGATTTCCATTGAAACGAGAAGCACACACAAAATCACATCACATAATTGACCCAAATGCAGCTATAACGACGGTACGGCTCTTGTTTTCTTCCCCAGCTCATGGTCATATACTTCACGAAGCTATTGGCCATCAAAAAACAGCAGAACACACAAAAACACATCACATTTTCGCCTCCGGTAAACATGCAAACGGCTGACGGGCATTCCATACGTAACTGTCACTCGACAAAAAAACTGTGGTCTCAAAACACATCTTCCAGCAACTCACCTCTCCAAGGGCGTCGCCATTCACTTCCTGGGCGAGACGCTTGTCGAAAAACGCTCGCCTGCAAAAGACCGACGACAACCGAAAACACACCGAACACGTCAGGGGCAATTTTGCAAACTCTACTTGCAACCCGCAATTTTCACACACTCTTCGCACCCATCATCTCCCCACGACAACATAGAGTAGCTTTACAAGATAAATCCCCTTCATGCGCACGACACACCATATCGTTCTACTGGATTCAAATCCGACACACCTACATCAGAAAAACCGCGCGACTCACTGCGACATTCTCGAACGGATCGCCAGGGTACACCCAATCAGCTGCTTTCGAATGATTACGCCTTACGAATGAAGTCAACAAAGACCTGCGCAGGAGATAGACGTACACTAGGCGAGAAGAAATTAACAGAAACAAGGGAGGCTACAGAAAATCCGAGCAAAGCGCACGTCTTGCGAATGGAGAGAGCAGCCGTCATGTGGCACGAATATTACTACCCCGCTGGGTTCTCTCTACCCGTTACCCCGCCATCTCTTTCTCCCCCAATCTTTCCATTCTCTTACCTATCTCCCCTCTCTCCATCCCTCTTCCGTTCTCTTGCTATTTTTTACTCTTCATCCCTCTTGCTCTAGGGAGTGCATCGGATAGTTATATGATGTGGGGACAACACACTGCTGGGAAATCAGTAACAGTGGAGGACGAAGACCCTTAC